TTTAAAATTCAATTTACATGCTCAGTTACAAATTTAAATAAATACTAAGGTTCTTTATGTTTGATAAATGCACATGTATTTGACCTTAGGTGCAATACTACGTGAAAAACAGAAAAATAAAAAGCCTATATTATTTTGGGACTGCCCCCACGGAATAAGTTTTCAGATAAGGGTAAAGATCTATGAGTATAGTTTGTAATTTAACAGGTGAGAGTCTTTGATCTACCACAGAGGTAATCTTCAGTTCTGTCAGTGTAACTAAAACTCATTTGAAGTAACTTGCTAAATAGGAAATGAACACACACATTGAGCTCACTGAATTTTTAAGTCTTATGCATATGTGTAATGTTTGGATACAGAACTACTTTAAGTTCCCAGTGTTCAAATAAAATTTTCTGAAAAACCTTGTCACAGTGCTTGATATTCTACATCCAATACACCATTGGCTTAAGATATTGGATATTTAAATAATTTTGGACAAACTGCATTAAACTTTTTATTAGTTATTAAGCTTTCAGCAAGAATAAGCTTAGGAGATTTGTAAGACTTCCTTAGATTATGTAATGCCCTTTTTTCTGGTTTCATCCTATACACCTACCATATGACTCCTTTCTTAAAAGCTCCTGCCTGCCACCTCCCAACCACACGTCCCTTTTTACTCTCCCATAATGCAGACTTCAGCACCTGGTTTTCATTCTTCTCATATAATTTAAATGTCAATGTGAATGGCCTAATACTCTGGCCTGGACTCAGTTTTTTATTTCAATGACCTTTATCTCCATTATACATCTGCTATTCACATCTGTAGCTGCACTCTGAGTGCTCATTCTTAGAACCACTGCATCTCCGAACTCTTATACTCAGCTATTCACTCTCTGAACTATGCTTCCTCCACTTTTTGTACTGCCGTTCCTAAATACCACCTTCAACACTTGCAATGTCTTAATGATTCCAATCTATCATCTTCTGTATTTACCAGTGAATCCTGTAACCATAAAGATTAATGTCACTACATATTTTTAATCTTTACCTTCAATTGCTCCTCAAAACTGCTTACTTGTCTTCAGCTCTCTGCAAATTTCCCACCGATACTATTGAAAGTTTTAGTCCTGAAGCCCCTTACCACAGTTTCCTCAGCAGACTCCCTCCCTCTTAGTGTTTTTTTTTCTTCTTATTTTACCTATTCTTACCTTTTTTCCTTCCCTCCACCTACACGGTAGATTAATCGCATTTCCTCATTCCCCTCAGGGAACTCACAGTATCTTTTCATTGTTTCTGAGCTCCTTCTGGCTGCTCTAGTCAGTAACAGGCATCACCATTTTCATTTCTCACTCTCACACGCTCTACATCAGTGCTCCCTATTCTTTCAAATATGTGCACTTCTGTTTCTTCCTGGTTCCTTCCTATCTTACTTGTGGCTCAAATCAACATTGCCTGTAAAAATCTATGAACTGGTCCCTCTGCTTCTGTTTCTGCTTTGCCTGCTGCCTGTCCCTCTCATCAATCTATTTGCCACATTGTCACTTATGTGATTATTTTCCAAATGCACATATCTTACACCCTACCTAAAGTCCTTCAACATCTCTCCACGTCCTTATAAAGGAGATAAAAGACCCTCCATCCTTCTTTAGCCTAATAATTGAAATGCTCTCTGATTTCAGGGCATTTCAAGTTTTCTTGGGCAGCATAATTAATATCAAATACTTTTAAAATTGTTCATTAACCTGTTGTCAAGCTCTTTTTGTAGAGGTGTATTATGAGTTCTAGATTGTCCTTGCAGATATCAATATTTCTTGCCAAATCAACAAGAGAATTTTCAAAGTTTCAATGTGTTAATATAACTTACTCTTCTCCATCAATTGGTTGTCAAAAAAAAACTAGGAGCCTACTTATTACCTCTATTTAAAATTTGTCTTTAACTCGAAGTTGATTATTGATTTTGGTTTGAAAAAAATTTTTTTCCAACTCATTTTTTTATAATAATTTCTATTTATTTCATTTAGTAATAAGTACAAAATAATTATATGATGTGTGTGTGTAATTGTATGTTACACTACTGGATATATTCCTCAAGAAGAAAACTTGTATTTTGACTAGATTAATGAGGACTGAATCCTACAACTACAATTTTTTTACATCTAGGGGTTGGAAGGATTTACTGACTCCATTGTCCAGAGACTTCTGATGCCTGATGACACAGGACAGGTCCTTATCATGACACCTCCTCTGACCTGCGTTTTTTAGTCTCTGATGCCAGGTGAGCTGTCTCAGTGGAAGGTAGGAATACTCCTGGAAGCCATTTCTACACTTAAATAACTAGCAGTAACTTGATTGTTCATCGAAGTGATTGTGAAACTTTACACCTTTTAAAATGGTAAATCCTACCGTATTACTATCCCACTTAAACCTTTCAATGCTTCCCACTGCTCTTAAAATAAAATCCAACCTCCTTACTGGAGCCTTCAAAACACTGTAGGATTTCAGCTTTTCCTATTTCTCCAAACTCATCTTCAACATTCTCTTGCTTTCTACGTAGCCCAGCCATGTTGGTCTTACATCAGTTTCTTAAATAGACTAACCTTTTGTTTTTTTCTTACCCCAGGAAATTAATACCTAGAGTTCCCTTTCCCTAAACACCCTTTTTCTCTTCTACATCAGTGTTCAGACCTAGCTTGGATGATCCCTTTTCAGAGAGGCATTCCGTCTTCAGTTGTCCCATTCCAGTCAAGCTTTCCTTGCCTTTACAAAGCCTTCTTTTGCAGGCTACTCGCCTTTTGACTCTTCTTTCTAAACACTTCTTACTTGAATGCATTAAGTTTTATCAGCATCCTTTCCCTAATGTTCCTATTTATAATCTGTATGTATCTGTGTGTTTGTATAAAATAGCTAGCTGTTTGGATACCTCAACTTGAATAATCCTGTTATCTCATATGTACAAGTCCCAGTCTGCACTCATGGCAGCCCCCCAAACTGTTCTGCCTCTTGTATCCCTTGTATCCCTTATGTCTCACCACCTACCCACTTGTTCACTCAATTCAGAAACCCAAAGAGTCACCCTAGATTCTCCTACTCACTCCTTCTACCCCAGCTGTCACGAAACCGTTGGGTTCACTTCACCAGCATCTCAGATCTGCCCTTCTTCGTTACTTCTCTCAGACGTCATCATGTCTTACTGGAGTGACTGCAGACACCTTCAAGGATGCTTTTTTGTGGCCTGTCCAGTGTTGCTGCCTTGCGCTCCCCCCTAAACCACCCTCCATGGTGCTGTCAGAATGACCCTTCAAATCTCCAAAAAGTTATGAAAGATGCAAAACTGGATTCACGTCCGCCTCACCTGTTTCATTTCCCCATTGCCGTTTCCCCAACTGCAGCTACTCCATACTCGACAAGTTCGTCTTCGTGCCCCTTTGCGCCTCCTCTCTCCTCCTGCCTTCCTCCCCCAGCCAACTGCGACAAAGCAGGCGTCGAGCGGCTGCGGAAGTGGCTCCGACATTCCGGCCCGAGGGTCGGTTTAGGAGGCATTCCTTGCACGACGCTCCCAGCCCGCAGCCAGCCCGCCCCAGCGGGCCACCGGGCCGAGCCCCCGATGACCGCCGTCCTGCCCCCCCCGTGCTCTGCCCCCACGGCCCCCCTGCCCAAAACAGCTGGCAAGACTGACCAACAGAATAAAGGTGATGATTAAAAACGAAGGATTCAGATTCGGTTGGAGGCTCTTCAACCAACTTTGCTCCCTACAGGACGGCCGTCTGAGGGAGAGCAGGGATTCCTGACTGACGTTAACCGTTTCTCCAAGCCCCTGACTCCCTGACAGCCCGAAGCCCAGCGCCGATTAGCTTCCTCAGGCCGGGAGGGCGGCCGCTCTGACGCGGGGGGCGCCCAGTCGTCAGCGCGCGAGCGGCCCGGCTCACAGAGGCGGTCCCCCTCACAGACGC